AATAGACTCATATTCCGAGATAAAAGCAAGCCTAAATGATACGTATTCAACAAATATTCCACCCATCTTTCAAATTGATTTACAAGAAATACATTTTAAAGAAACTCTGTTACCCCAAAAATACCATGAATTAGAACCCCAATTAAGAAATGTAATATTCAACCATGACGTTGCAAAAATGTTTCCAAATTTTATTCAAATTTATACGGACGCCTCAAATCGCAAAACAATGTTTCCGCCGCTTTCTGGATACCTGAAAATAATTTTAGTAAATGTGTTAACCTTGATAAAAAAATGTCTATTTATTCCGCGGAATTAATAGCAATTTTAGAAGCTATTAGTTACATATCCAGAGAAAATTTCCAAAAAAAATATTGTCATTTTATCAGATAGTAAAAGTGCTGTTGAAAAACTAACTAAATTGTTAAAAATATAAGCGATATGCACATCATGACAAAGCTAGTTTGGATTAAAGCTCACTGTGGATTAATAAATAATGAAGTTGTGGATAACATAGCAAGAAAAGTACAAATGTAGCAGAATATAAATGCACAAAAGAAGATATGGCTGCTTTTTCAAAACCTTAGTTAGAAATAAATGGAAATCAGATTATAATAATTCAAATAAAGGTAAATTTTATAAAAATCTACAAACAATTATACCTTGTAAACCTTGGTTTCATGACATGTCCATAAACAAACATATGTTATCCACAATTTGCAGATTAAGGTTTAATCATTCACTAGCTCCCGCACATCTTCATAAAATAAATTTAAAAGATGATCCATTATGCAATTGCGGAGAAATAGGAACAACAGAACATATCATTTTAGGTTCTGAATCCAATAAAACATATGTTAATTTATTAAATAATTTAATTAATCAATCTTCCGACATCACAAAACCTTACAATTTAGCCCAACTGTTAGAAATAAAAAACGCAAAATATTTTTATATATTATATAAACACATTGTAAAATTAAAAGTAAAAATATAAAAAAGTTGTATATATGTGTTCGCAAAATGTTTAGTTAAGTTATATTAAGGATCTACCCTTTGTATATATCCTAACTGTTTCCAAGTCTATCCGTGGTCCTCTTGTTTGTCAAAATCGCTTATAAAGACCCATAAGCGTGTAGTGTCCCTGTGAATCCTGAAATAATTAAAAAAAAAAACAAAAAAAAAAACCAAAAACAAAAGAGGCTGTAATTTGGTTAAAAAAAAAAGAACTTGTAAAACTAGACGTGAGCGTATTATCCTTACTATATGATATTGAACTAAGATAAAATTATTTAATCGAAGTGGTTTGGCGAATGGACTCAGTTCCCGCTGTCAAAAATTCAAATTAAAAAAAAAATAAAGGATTAAATCTGAATGTAGATGTAATAAACAAACGCTCTAGACTTTATCGGTCACGTGATAAAATGACAATGACAAGTTAGAAGTTTATATTTTTTAAATTTGACTTTTAAGACTAGAAATCAACCTAAATTTAATATCTAAACAAAAATTAAACATACTAATCACTTTTATATTCACGCTAGCATAAACAGTGAATAAATCTATAAATTGGGGCTTCATAGAAACCTACTTTCTGGCATCTCATTCATATCTCACTTCAAATCAAGATGTAAAGGGTGGGCCATTTATATGTTGAATTATAAAATTAGCAATGAGTACAAGAAAAATTAATTTTTTTCCAACAAATTTAACTTTATTTAATATAATATTTCTTCCAATTAAGTATGGAAAATTATTTCATTTAAATGGCCACCTCGATTGGCTTGGCAGTAGCCCATCCTGGAACACCAATTTTCAAGCACTTTTTCAACAGTTTGTTGCTCTATTTGAGCAATTTGAGCTTGAATGTTCTGTTTTTAAGTGCCCAATCGTTTGAGGATTATCCGCATAAACTTTATCCTTTAATGCGGCCCAAAGAAAAGAAGTCGAAAGGTGTTAAATCGCAGCTCCGAAACGGCTAATTACACGATTATTAAATTTTGGGCGCAAAAGCTTGATGGTGGCCGCGGCGGTATAGCAAGTTGCGCCGTCTTGTTCAAACCAGACCTGATCGAGATTGATATCATCCAATTCCTGCCACAAAAAGTTCGTTATCATATCTCGATAGAGGCCGCCATTGATCGTAACGGCGCGGCTAGCCTCATTTAAAAAAAAGAGTCCAATCACGCCGCCACTCCAAAATCCGCACCACACAGTGACTCGATCTGGGTGTATGGGCTTTATTACGACGACGTGTGGATTTTCCGTGCCCCAAATCCTTGAGTTTTGTTTGTTAACATAACCTCCGACGTGAAAATGCGCCTCATCCGAAAAAATGATTTTTCTTGCAAAATCAGGGTCATCGTTCAACTGATTTAGAGCCCACTCAGCGAAGCGAATACGGTGTGGATCCTCAACTTCCTTCAACTCCTGAACGAGCTGGACTTTGTACGCAAACATACCAAGGTCTTTGTGCAGAATCCTTCCCAGAGTAGTACAGGAAGCATATTTACACATCCTCCTATATGACGGCACCGGAAGTGCCTGAAATCTGTTCGCCTTTGTAGCCTACAAAAGCTCACTGATTTAGGCACCCAGACAAATTTTAACTTTCTTTATAATAAGGTGCAATACGCGGTCAGAACAAAAATAATATAAACACATTTGCATATTTATTTATTAAAAATATATATTATTATGTTATGAAAACACCCTATATATTAAAAATAATGATAAAACTAATAATAATAATAATAATCGTACTAATAATAATATTAATAGTAATAAATAAAAATAAAGTAGCAAAATTATTATAACCCTGTATAATTAAAGTACATAGAAAGTCTTAAGGAAAGCAGACTATGAGAAGTAGAGAGAAAAGATTGGTTTCTTGATAAAAAAGGTGGTTATAAAAAGTCAAGTTTGAAAGATTTGGGAATTTGGAAAAAGGTTGTCAATTTTGGAAAATTTTAGAAAAATGTCAGAAGTTTGGAGTAAAATTGTAATTGAAATGTACATATATGTTAAATTTAAATAAGCCGAGGTAAGTTAAGTTTAGTGTGTATTTTAAAATTGTGAGGTTAATAGAGAACATAACAATTTGGCGCCCAACGTGGGGCCAGTATTAAACAGGGGCGTATATGTAATTTTTACGTAATATTAAACCTTTGGGCTTTCAAAAATAAAGGTGGTATTTTATTAACGTTTCAGTCATTTAATTAAAATAAAATGGAGGATAAAATGGAGCTAAGAGGGGGAAAGAAGATTGGACAAACAGAGAAAGAAGATGAAGGACGACAAATATCAGAATGTGAAAAAAATAACCACATAGAAACTAGAAGTAATGAGAGTAATGAAGATGATGAACAGATAGGAAGGAATACAAGTGGGACTCAAGTGGAGCAAAAGAAAAAAGATGAAGATGCAGTAATTAAAATGCTGTTACTAATAGAGCAGAAAATAGAAAACAACCAAGAGGAATTGCAAAATAAGATTAAAGAAAACTAAGAGGAATTGCAAAATAAAATTATAGAAAACCAAGAAAAATTAGGAGATAAAATAGAAGAGAGTAAACAAGATATAAAACAAGAATTTCAAAATAAGTTTAATGAATTGGACAAG